AGAATTCTAGGAGTTGAAGTTCACCCGTCTTAAAGTTCCCAAGGTTGAGAAACACTGTTGTAATGCAACCCTTACTCAAGAAACCAGCAGAACTGGAAGGCTGGTTTACAGAAGGGACTTTGAAGACCAACAGGCCAGAAATCCTCCATTCTTGATATAGATCATGAAAAGCTCTCCTGTAACCTAAGTGTGTAATTTATCACAGACTACCCTCTAACCATAAAACAGAAGCAATTCAAATAACACTTGCTTCTGCAAAGATAACAGTCGGTTCCCATACTTATAGCAAGGGTATCCTGCTTCCTTGCCATATTTTTATACATCATCTGAACTTTGGTTTTGCATCCTAAATCATTCCCAAATTGGACAAACCAATAGCATGCAAATCTAATGATTCTTTCGCCTTTCCCCAGCTTTGGCTGGCATGCCAATTGTAGCTTTACCTGGGCCAAGAGAACCTTGCTATAACAACTTGCTACCCAGAGTACCGCGACATGTTCTACATTGGGCTGCTTTTGAAGACGTTGAGTCACCCAGTCACATACTTGAGATGGGCAGCCAATCAAATAAAACAAATAATATCACTCAGAAGCTGCAGTTGATTGAGTACAATTATCTATATGCTGACACTGACTGGAGCACATTGTATCTGCAGTGGTTGCCAACAGGTGCAATTTAAAGGGCTGATGCTAACCTAAAAGGTCCTTCATGGCTTGAGGCCTAGTTATCTACAGAATTATATTCTCCCATTGGAATTGACCCAGCTGGCTCGATTTTCTTACCAGAAACCATTACCAGTGCCCCACTTTGGGGCCGGTGTTGGGGGGAGATAAAGCTTTGTAGTACCGCGTTTCAATGGCCATACTGGCCCTTTGAAACAATCTCCCAGGGGACATGCAATTGGGTCCCAAGAAAGCTCTTCTGGAAACCATTTGTGCCCTGATTCCATCTTAGTTTGTTTATAGTCTGGTTTATTCTACATTTCTATTAGTTTATGGACCTTTTATTTGTATACTTTTATTGTATATCATTTCTTGTAAACTTCTGAAAGACCTTAGGATATGGCAGTCTGTAAATGCCAGTAATAAGCAGCCACAATCTTCATGCAATCGAAAATAGGGGTTGGAGGAATAAGTAATACCTGCCTTAATCCTATTGCATTCAATGAGCTTAGGAACAAAGTACTTGGAACATCTTCTAATCTAGTATGTCTGCATCTTAAAATTCAGCAAGAATGTATGCTTCGAAATATTTGTCCATTTCACAGGTCAGAAGTAGAGCTGCATAGCAATGTATTTGTGTAACTTAACTGATACTCATACATTTCTAAACAGACATAATAGTTTTAGATACTGTAAAAAAAAAAAAATTCTGAGCTCTCCATAGGCTGTAGTTACAAATACATAAAGGATTAAATGTCAAATTGATCACAAAACTGGGTTTAAGCATTAAATCCACTTCAGTCCTATAAATGTTTATATTTTCAATCTTACAAGCAAATTCTGTGATGTTATTTCTTGCTGATACGAATGCATGTTGCCATCTACTGTTAGAAAACTGATACACCATTTTCACCATAACTTTTTACCCAATCAAAATACATTGTTTCAAATGTGCACATTCAGGCTCCACGTTATCCTCTGATGGTGCTTTATACTGGATCATGACCATCCAATTCAGCATTCTTCACTAAGCTTTGAAGCATCCAACAATTCCAATTATGGTAAAATTATACTACAGAAAAATCCACTGTTTGCCACTGAATTTGTCAATATGATCTGGGGTTGTTCAGAAGACCACAAAAGTAGAACTGACCGCATGCAGACTGCGGGTTCCCCAGCCCTGGATAGCTTGATTTGTAGACTGCTCTGGCGCTCGGCTGTAGGAATCTAGACTTAAAGTCATAACATTAAATCAGATTGAACATATCCACCTGACAGTTTTTTCCCCCTCTGCTTGATCTGAAAATGTTACTGCAAATAACCATAAAGTCTCCTATCCCATAATGGTACTTTATTTTTAAATGCAAAGAAACCTAAACCTATCTGGTTGGTGTTTACTTAAAAACCCAATGGCTGGTCGGAGGGCGGAGCTGGCGTCGCGGCGATACGGCGGGCGGTGGTCGGGGGGCCGCGGGGGTGACCCG